TTCGGCGGAGACCTACACTTTACCGTAAGGAAGGCCAAAGTGCAAGCACCATCTTCATTACATCTACTTAAAATTTTTGCTCATGGCCAACGCAGCTTTTCCACTCACATACAGATGCTGACGATATAATTTCTGCAAAACAAGCTCTTTAACGATATTGCGCTGTAAAATGACACGATTCACCTAAGCGAAAGAAAGTGCTTTGGATGATGGGGTGACCAATCCATGGCACCCTATAATTCGCAGGCGACTAGCATCGCCCTTCATTTTCACGTTCATATTCGCCTACATGCGATGTGCGCTTAGATAAGAATGTCCCATTCGCAATACTGTCGTACCATGGGAACTTAGAAATGCTGAAGTGTCGTGTCCACAACAAAATTTTGCCGATCATCGTGTAGGTGAAATTGACTGTAGCATTACCAACACTGCGGTTTAGTTTTCCAGCAATGTGATGCTGTGAGGACAGAGCAAGACTACGTAACATAGCTATATATGCAGGGTCGACAACGACGCAATGCATTCCTTTTAAGAGAAAAAGGACGCCTTAATTGACGTGCACCGTTTCAGGTGGCAGTGGGAGAAACTATCGCTAAAACAAAGAATGGAAAGCGTTCCGATGGAGGCGGAAATGTTGTAGGCCCGTGTGCTCAGATTTGGGTGCACGTTAAAGAACCCCAGGTGGTCTAAATTTCCGGAGCCCTCCACTACGGCGTCTCTCATAATCATATAGTGGTTTTGGGACGTTAAACTCCACATATCAATCAATCAATCAAGAATGGAAAGCGGGGCAGATCACGTAGTCAGTCAGCTTAATAGATGTGTCATGAAGGTGAAATTTGTGAACAAGCCGCGCCACACGCAGTCGCCTCACGCTGGTTGGCTCTGTCTCGATCATAGCATGCTACAGAGAACAACACTCACTGTGTCAAGCCTGATTAAGAATACATATTAGAGTTCCGTTATTCCAGTCACCACGTGAACGACGTCCAATGTGCATTTCTCCAAACATGTCTACGGGGCGGCCCCGTTGGCGTTGTCTGCGGGGAAGTGGAAAAAGAGCGCCGCGTTGTGGTGCGCGGTGGCACTTCTCAATTACATTTTTTCAATGGGGCGCATGCCGAATTGAACTGCCGGAGAAACACCGCTGCGCGTGCCCGATTGCGCATGTGTAATCTGCAGAACGCTCAACGCATGGCAAGCACAGTGGCACGCTATTGGCTACACTCTCACAGGGACGCGCCATGACTTGCCCCTAGCAACGGCCACCGTGCCGTACTCTCATTTTGAGGTTGCTCCTGCGAAACGCGCCGGCCAAGAATGGAGAATGAAACTACTTCATGCATTGCTACGCTTTTTTTACGTGCGGCATGTTTGCCGCCTCTATGTCGCTGTCACTTCGTGGGAGCTAACATGTTAAACACGGCACTCCGTGAACCTTTGTTTCTTGTAGTAACAGTTCAGAAAGAGTTGCAAGCTCAGCGTGTAGTTTCACTGTGATGCTGCTATGGTATACTATACCACCGAGCATTCAGGTCTGATGATTCGCCTGCCTGTCGAAATGTCTTAACATGCTTGGCCTCCGTCGAGGAACGACAAGGTACTGCACGTCACAAATAGGAAGTACTGCAAGAAAATCGAGAAGAAAAAGTACTGTGTTGCCTGCTTCTGGAGACAAACTTCCGTGTGTCCTGAGAACTTGTATCGCATGCGTGCTCGTCAACAAGCACCCACATGCGAGTGCCCACGAAATCTGCTGAAACTCGGATTTATCTGGTGAGGTTAAACTATGTTTGCTCAACGTGCTTGTGCTCTTTTGCCGTGCACGTTTTCTTTAAAAATAAATGCCCAGCTCCATAATTCAGGCCAGTGGTCTGTTCTTTCCCTGGAAATCAACTTCTTTAAAATATACGCTGGTGTGAAGCTAATTAAACAAAAAAAGCCGCTCGAAGAGTTCCATTCAAAGGATCCTCCTCAGTATGGCCGACATTCCCCTCGCCATAAGTCCATCTGCTGTGTTCTTTACTTCCAGCGTACAACAACTGTGGAGTGAATTAAGGATGGTAGGTAAGCAAGTACTTCTTTTTAAAAACAAGTTGTGCACCAGAGAGCTTTGTCCTAAAGATGCATCACTGCATGTATTCATTAGCTGGAACGTTGTCATTTTTCTACCCGAGGTGTCTAAGCATGCGACTCCTTTACCGTTAATTCCCAGAAACGGTCACTTCTGCCAACTGCAACTGCTTCTACCATAAGCTTCAAAATTTAAAGCGATCTGTGCCCATAAAGGCAATTCTTCAACATTAGAAGATTAAGCAACATTCTTTATCCCGTAACATTCAAAATACCATCACTTTTATAAAACTTCCTAAACTATGTGTAAACAATGCTTAGCCATTAGCTTCTAGAGATGCAGCCTATTATTTTATGTACCTTACTCCCAACACCCACAAAGGTTTCGGCAAGTGCTTTTCAGCAGTAATTGTCCTAATAGAAAACCGTTCTGACAGCCTAAAGGAAACATTCTGCCAGCTCGTTTACTTTAAGCTCCACACCGTATTGTGGCTGAACAAGTTTTTTATTGCCCGTGATGCTCCATACCATATGCTTTAATTTTGTTGACTTGGAGCAAGAAGGCCTAGATGAAAGTGGTTCAGCACGGGGTGCCCAGTGGGACCAAGAATTGTGCACTAGTGATATCCGTAACCCTGTTGAAGATTTTATGTGCAGGTTGGGAGAAATAGAGCAGAAAGGTGCTGGAAGCTACGTGGGAAACATTAATGAAAATAGCAGGTGTCAAAAAATTGAAACATACTTGCACTCGTAACTGGGTAATTTTTTTATATAGTGCATATTTCGTCACTTCAAACTGTAAATATTAACAATGAGCAAAACAGTGTACCACAAACAGATTTTTGTTTATACACAAAACCAGTGCTTTTAGTAGCACACACTCAATGCATCTTCCAGTCGCTCTGATGTTTCATTGCTTTTTGCCTACCTTGTGTAGGTCAACATGCTTGAGCAGCTAACTTTTTTTCTGTTAAGAAGCTTTTTAAAAGCAAAGCATTTCTTTATAGAACCAAAGGCACCTTGAGCATTTATATCTATCTATAGGCCTGCATCTGGGTGCTCTCATGCTCACCTTCGTAACTTGGTATGACTGAAAAAAATTGGCAGATCCCACGTACAGTGGGAATCGATGACATGCGAAGCACGAATTAGAAATGTTGATATGTCAGTCTAAAATCAGCCCAACATTATGAGGTGGAGGTAAATGATGCTGTACATGACTTCCGTGTCATGATTATCATTTTTGAATAAGTCGTTTACCTTCGTCGCTTATTCACGTCACGTAGTACTAAATTTAGTACACGTGAAGCTAGCGAAATCGTCGTGAGCACGCTATCGATCGATCGATATGTGGGGTTTAACGTCCCAAAACCACCATTTGATTATGAGAGACGCCGTAGTGGAGGACTCCGGAAATTTTGACCACCTGGGGTTCTTTAACGTGCACCCAAATCTGAGTACACGGGCCTACAACATTTCCGCCTCCATCGGAAATGCAGCCGCCGCAGCCGGGAATCGAACCCGCGACCTGCGGGTCAGCAGCCGAGTACCTTAGCCACTAGACCACCGCGGCGGGGCAAAACGAGGAAAGTGAGCACGCTATGAGCGTGGTATGTTATCATGTTCTTACATGACACGCGTGTCAAAATTACTATGTTTACACCAGTCATATACTTCGTCATCCATTGACGTCACGTAACACCAAATTTGGTATATGTGGAGCTAGCAAAACGGCCGCGAGCGCATCATGAAAGGCCCAATATACTGTAATGCAGCGTTTACACACGCACATGCTATGCATAGCGATGCTACATTAGCAAGATGCAAGCACTCTTCAGTCTGATGCCAGGCGCGACCAGCGTCCATCAGCGCGGCCTCACGACAACCAGCGTGAAATGCGACATGCTGCATTTCGACGTTTTTGTGAAGCAGTCACATGCGACACCGACGCCATCATTGAAGCTACACACGCTCACCCGTGCATAAAGACAGACGCTTTAAAACCCCCACGAGGTGAAAATCAGAAAAAAGAAAGCAAAAATGGTAAAATACTTCTCTTTTCACATGTTGAGTAGCGTAAGTTGTAAATACTGAAACATACTATCGATGGGGATAGGCCTGGTCAGGAAAGTGTTAGTGCTGCTACCAAGTGGGTTTCTCGCTACCTGCAGACACCAATGTGCAGATTTGGCGTGCCATGGCTTTTTTAAATGCAAAAAGAATGAAAACTCGCATATCTAACTAATTTAATTACTAATTGGGGAAACTGGGAGCAGGTTGCACGAGTTCTGTCCCTCACGGAACCCAGTTCGAGAACCCACGCGCCAGAACATCCAGGAGACTCGTCGCATGCAAAAGGATGACTCCATGCATGCAACAAGCCGCTCGCTCGCGGCAAAACTCGCGCGTATGTGACCGCACGCAGCAGCGTCGACATGAAAACCACAGCAAGCGGAGACACGTGCTACGCACAACGAAGATCCTGATAGACAATCCCTATACATGCCACTCATTTAGGGTGGCTAACTCGGTGGTTTTCCCTGATTGACAGTGGTGTCTAACACACAGCCTAGCTAGCCGAAACAGTACGCTCGATGCACGGCAGCACATTTTTGCTGTGTCACGCATATTTACAATAGTCCAAAGAAGATTATAGCGGCACCATGGGAGCCTTCGTCACCAAAAAATTGCAAAGTAAAAAACACACTTGGGCGTGTCTTATTTTCTAGTTATTCCTGGTGTTGCTCGGAAAGTCATGTAGTAAACTCGGCTTTTTTTCCCTACTGAAGCGCAGGTTCGCATCAAAACTTTTGTTTTTGGGACTGTTTCAAAGCGATTCCGCGCAATTTCTACAATTTTTATGCTTTTGGAACAGCTTGGTACAAGAAACGGAAACTTATAAAAAATGCGCAATATGCGCAGCTCTCTCACCCCTGCAGACATAAAAGTGGGACGTATGTCCCACTGTTGCATAAAGGGTTCAAGTTATAGTATTGTAATACCATCTGGCTAAAACTTGGAGCCTTCTTAGCCTGACTATAAATGGGACAACATCCAGGACCCATGGCACAATCTGAAGCACAACTTTCAGATAATGTAAACAGTTCTTACAAAAGGTTTTATTTCTTCTCTTTTTCAGCCGCTTCATGTGCTTCAAGGCCTTCTTTGAGACCCCTTGCTGCTGCCGGGCCATGGCCTCACTGTATTTTTTCTTGTTAAACCTGCATAGTGGAACAAGGAAAAAAAATTGGGTTCATTTCAAGCCCCCCATGTTTAACGACTTTAGCAGTATAGATCTTTTGAGTACAGTTGCTGCACTCATTAGCGTTCAAACTTCTGCACACAGAACACTACCACTGTATAAACAATTCTTGACACCATTTTCTGTTTATTCATACCATTCAAAAGACCTTCTTCTTTTTATGAAGAGAAAAAGTTAAGTTTAGAAAGTGCAGAAAAAATTTATAACAATGAAAGTCGCAATGCTAAAAAATGGAAGAATCCCTACACTTCACCGGTAAGAGTTGAACTCAATAGTGATATCTTGCCCCTAGTGCATACTTCAAGCACTTAGTGCAAATCTATTCGAACTTGCTATGCACCCACTACGTGGCCATACAGGGGCCCTGCAACACTTTTTGAGCATGGTCAGAAAATGCCAATCGGTTAGGGGCTACCGACAACACGTGAGCCAAATAGTATAGCGCAGCACATGGCCTGGAATTCACAATGAATTATACAGTCAGCTAAAAATTACTTTCTCTTCTCTCGACCAATGACAGGAGACTCTCAAGAATCCCTCGTAGCAAGCTCATCTATCAAACATTGGCTGATCTGAACATGGCATGCTCGATCATTACAGAGATTGCCACGGGAGGCCACGACTTGTCCACGCGTGCGTGCACGATCACACTGAAAAAGTCGCACATTTGAAGAAAAAAAGAGAAAAAAGTGTTCAAGGTCACACGGCGCGGGTCACGTATATTCTTTGCCCCTGCCATCCCTGCCTGCTAAGCTTCCAGTGCTTTCGTCGGGACGGGAGAAAGCAACTGCAGCATGTGACAAATCTTCGTAACTCCTCTCGCACTAAACGAATTCTTAGAACTTTTGCTGCATTGAATTCGTAAGGTGATAAGCTCATCCAGCGAATTCAATCCATAGTTACTTGAAAAAGTGTTTCAGGGTTCTTTTAAGGGAATAGATGCAGTACCGCGTCCCTTTTGTAGTGGTTGACCGGCTTTAATTGAAAGGACATACAACCGATATTTATAGTACCAGTTTTCTTGAGTGCAACGGAAGCCTTATCAGTTAGAGCTTGTAATCACGGAATGATAACGAGGAAAACACCCCAGAACATTTATAATTAGAATTTGTCAATTTGCAGTGATTATGCAGTCTTAAGGAGACATGCTGCAAACAGTGGATGTGATCGCGATAGGGGTTATACTCCAGTGTAACACCAGCAGTAATGAAAAGTGAAGACCTAAGTACAAAACATGTAATGTTGTGTTCGTTAAGCCTGCAGTCCCGCGACCACTGCTTCCTAGCAAGCTAAATTATTTTACAAGAGCTACAGCGTTCTCCCAGGGCTTCTTATGCAAGTACTTTTGGTCGTGCACAGGTCGTTTTTTTCTACTTTAGCTAAGCCGAGCTAAGCCAAGTCTGCGAAAACGAAACGATGCCTTTACAAGTGATCAGGCCATTCACGCATAGTAGTTCATGTGCAGCCAGCCATAGTTGGATGGCTTCGATAAGTCATCGCTTGAAAACTTGAGCAAATTAGAGAAACGAATTTGGGCTCGCATTTGAAGCTCTAATTTGGACCCCTACCAGTAGCGTCAGAGGAGACATGCTTCGACAGACGACGGCGGTAGCGATGAATCCGACGAACCGTCACCATAGCCACCACCAGCACCATGCATGAAGTAATTCTCCACACAGCAGTTGGTTGACGACATTTCGCGTGCCACAGCGATCGCATCCACAAGCTCGAGTGCTTCTTCCAATGCGCCTGACGCGACGGGAATCGAGGTACACTGAAAACGCCGCATGGCAGCGCCTGTGCGACTACAACCGTTTTTTTACAGAGGCCACGAAAGTAGCGCCACTTTGTATGCTGTACCTGTTTTAAATGGAAGCCACACAGAAACAAATGAACAATAACATACAAGTTTCTAATTTAAGCCCTTATTTCGGAGCGCTTTAGAGGGGTTGTGAAACGAAAATTAAACTTCCCGGTAGCATTTTCCCCTGATTTAATAAGGAGAGAACATACCGATTCCGAAATATTTCGGCACAATATCCCTTCTTTAATTAATGACACCCATTTGAAACCACAGTTTTTTGGAAATCGCTAGTGACTATGCGCGACCGTCGGTCGCTATAAGCACTAAAATGTGATGTCAGTGATACGTCATCTTAAGAAAAGTTAAAAACAGAGCGTTAGCTTTACTTCGGTCTAAAGTAATATAATTATAGGATAATAAAAAAGAAAAAACAACAGAGTTGTTTGTGTGCTCTGAGTTCTAAGCAGTACAATTACAATGAGTGACCTGCTCGGTTCTGCTTTCTACTACATCCGAGCTGTCACGTCCGGGCTACATTCGGGCTGTCAGGGTCGTGGTCGGGGCTTCCGCTAGCGGAGGTTTTCCCACACGGTCTCGGTATGGGTGCCTCCACAGTGCAGGCTTCTTCACCATCGCCACCCAAGAGCCGACTCCGCTCGAGCAGATGACGCTGTAGTTAGGAGAGGTCGGCCATCGCATGCCGAGTGCCCATGATGTTATGGTGTTGCCGGCACCCCAATCTAAACAGTGTGATGCTACAGACTACAGTCAACTCAAACGCAAAAACATCGCTGCGTCGCCATATTTTGTCGACGACACAGACTTTTCATTGGTTGTCTTAAAATGACGTCAACTGCACTGTTGACAAGAACGTGAGCAGAGAAACCGAAATTGCGCCTTTTTAGTAATTCAGCGAACCCAGACATTAAACGAGTCGAAGTTTAGTATTAAATGGATGGCTAGGATTCTGAATACACACGTAGTTGAAAATTTTTGGAGGACGTTTCACGACCCCTTTAAATATTCAGAGCAAAGTTATTAGGACTTGATATTTGTCGTTTATGGCTCTAGCGCTAGAGGCGCAACACCGGTTTTCATTACTTTTGAACGCGATTTTAAAAAATTGGCCCCGTATCTGCATGTTTCACTGCAAATGTCGCTGAAAAATGTTATTCTCACATATAGAGAGAGTGAACAAAACATTTATTTGATGTTCTGAGCGAGAAAATTGGTGAATTGTATTTTGGAAGCACCACGTTAGAGAGTGACGATCCGTGCAGTGAAGGCGAACTACTGCATCAAGGCACGTTAGACACGAGTGCTATCTGGCAGTTATCTTCGAAAACAAAGGAGGTATGCGTGCCCACGGAGAAAGATGCGTGCCCACGGAGAAAGATGCGCGCCAGTCTCGGAGGGGATTAGGTGTAGAACGCAAAGCGACGGGCAGGTGCCATAACCGTGTCGTCTTAGCAAAACGTTGGAAACACTTGCCTTTTTGAGCATCGCGTTGCACTGTCAGCGCATCGTGATAAATCCTACGGTCGTTAGAATTACTTATGCATGCCTTCTCTAGTATAAAGCCACACATACAAACTATTGACGTGTCATTGTGATGCCTCAGATATGCGTAATAGTTCCTTCTAATTGACAATCGCACAAGTATGAACGCTGAAACTTGAGCAATATTGGTGGGCGCTGTGGATAAGGTTGGCCGTTTGAGGCATCGTTACAATGGACAAACAGACAAATGCACAGACAGAAACACCGACTAAGACTATTGCGTCGAAGTACTCCAAGAAAGACTATCATGTTTAAAATATAAATCTTACTCAGATCGCGAAAAGTATGCTGTCACCTGTTGTAATAATTCATGCTCTTTTCTTTCCACCGGAATCTAACCACTTGTTCTGGCCAGTTGTGGGTCCCGTTAAACTATGAAGCCATTATGATAATCACATGTTCTAACACCTGATGGCAATGTATGCTTGTACCACACATTATTACTGATATTTCATGTTATATTGTGAACCATGTATATGATACGCATGTGTTTGTAAAGCACGAAAGTTACTTTCACTGCATTTCCAAGCAGAGGAAGTTAATTTCAGTGTGTTCATAAGCAACGTGGTTATGCGTTAGAACACCCGCTTGCCACACAAACGACCCGGGTTCAATCACCAATCAGACCCAGAATTCTATTTAATTTATTTTATTTGCATCTTTCTCAATTTCTCGGTCATGCACAAGATAATGTTTTGCTCACAACCGCTGACACCGACACCGGAATTTCTGTAAAACGAGCTCCTTAACGCTATCGCGTCAAAAACATTCAGCTACCTTATAATCTAAGCTTCTAAAACACTGAAACAATGCCAATTGATTTGAATTTGTGGTTTTTTATATAAGTGATTAATATGCCTAAAACTCAAATGGTTGGTACCACTTCCGGCCAACCTAAAAAACAGAACGCCTCATGACAGATTAAGCTTGGACACTCACTTAAATGACATTGCCATTTTTTTCTCTTGGTGTCGGACGATATGATATTGACAGACGCTACCAATTCTCAGTGAAAGCAACTGGTACTAGCAAATATGCGTACCAAGAATAGAAGTGTTTTCTGCTGGTACGCTGCTTCTTGAACTTACCTGCAGCTGCACTATCTATAAATAAGTAATGTGGGTACGTTGGGACACAAGCGAGTTACATTACCTCCATTGAACAATCACATAATGTCAGTAAGATAGCCAATCTTGCACAACAGGAAACCCACATCATTCAGTTCCTCCCTCTCACAAAAGAGACAGCCACGGTCGAGTCAAGAAAAGGAGACAAAGCAAGAACAATGAAATCAAACCTTGGACTAATTGATTTGCAAATTCGAAGAAAAATTTTTCGTCTATGCCTTTTTCACAAAATCCTTTACCAAAATAATTCACTTAAACAGGAACTCATCTCGCAACCTTCATACATATCGTCACGTCTTGATCATCAGTATAAAGTTTTTATTCCTTTCTGCCGTACTAACGTTTTTTTCAGACTCCTTTCTGCCAAAGACCAGTGCCGAGTGGAACCACCTTCCCCCCCTCCATCGCCTCCATTGAGGACGTGTCATCCTTCAAGACTGCACTAACCGATCATATCTTAAGCCTCTA